GCAAACTGTTAAACATTAAACTGTTGGTTACTTTAAAACTAACCTTCATCTGGGAGATCACAGGGATATGTGAATATTTGATCTGTTAACTGGTTGCATATGTCAGATTTATTGCATGACTCGGGCAGAGAAAAGCTGTTGCTATCAAACATTGTTCACTTGTTCACAAACATCAGTGTGTTGGTGAAGAGATAGATCAAATAGGCCAATTGATGGAAGGTTTGTTAAGAAATTTCATGCTCCCTTGTAAAAGTATTTTTTTTAATACAAAAATACAGTAGTTTATTTTGATACTTGGTGTAGCTGCTGTATTTTGTAGTTTATTTTGATACACTTAAAATTAAGGTATTTGGTATTTTATTTTAAAATACATTTTGATGTATCTTTGCCCAACCCTGTCTACAATGAACATACTGTCAAGGTAAGAACACTTTTAATACAAAACCTCACTTGACATGATTTCCAGATGACTTACCGGACAGCTCTCACTAAGAAATACAGAACTCCGATGGACGTGATCCCGATCAGAACATACAGAGCCCTGTTTATCATCGCGCCGTCCAGATCGAAGCCCGTTTTTGAGTTGTTGGTGGTGGCGGCGGCATTTTTCTGAGACTCTTCTGTAACGTTACTGATGCTGGAAGTGTTCTGGAGAGCGGGGGGTTTAGTGGTGGTGGTGTTATTGCTCGTGTCATCGGCGAAAGAAACAGCCCACAAAGTCAAAACCAGAGGGAGCAGTCTTAAATGTGTCATAGTAGCTTGCATTCGTGATTTCTAAAGACGAGAAGACCCACACACAACTATGAAGTTGGCTTTAACGACAGAATCCAGTTCCTCTTCCTGATTGAAGACGACAGCACAAGTAGTGTTACGGTAAATTGTGTCCTGAGGGGAATCAACAACGAGATCAGGTTCCCCTCTTGAGGGAATGGACGCGTTTAACGTTAACTCTTCTTTTCTATTGTGGTATTTTGAAAATGTGGCTATTATGATAATTTTACTGCTTGAATCATATTCTAAGCAACACCGTCGAACAAAACGGTAGCTACTAGCAGAGCCGTTGAAAACATAACGTTAGTAGCTACTCTCTAGTCTGATTTGTGCGTCGATGCAAAACGCGACGCTAGCGTTCCCACAACGTTTTGTCCAAATAACGCTCGCGTACTTGTGTTTGCGTAATTTCTGTAATAATCCTGCGTAAAAGTGTTTCAGCTGTTCTTCATTTATTGCCACAAGAATAAACGTCATGGACACAGACTTGAGTAAACAAATAATATTTATTGAAGGCAAAAAGTACAACTAGGAATGTCATGAAGAACAAGATAAAGACTGAAAACAGTGTAATCCTGATTTTAACCATTTTATATTTAACTATATTTTTTTGCATGATGATGGTACACAGCTGTAATCAAAATATACATGTTTTTTAACGGATATAAAAACCCATAATTTTTAACATTGTGATACAAAAATAGTATTTACATCTGTCCGCTATAAGAAAAAGCACTTTATAATCTAAGGCAGATGTTGTATATTGAGGGTTTTTAATGTTGTGCAAGGATGCATAATCAGGTTTTATCCAGCCACTGTAAAGAATCAACAATATAATAAAAACTTTTTTCTACATCCAAGAAGCATTTGGATTTCTTTAAAGCACCACCTCTATTTTTTATTTTGTTTAGATTGGTCCCATACAAATAGTAAAACATGTAACAAAGGGAAAAAAAACATCATACACAGAACCTAATGTAAAATTAAAAATAGTAAAATAACACAACCCACCATGAAACATTGCTGAGAATATGATATAAAAAGATTAGATTTTCTGTATATCATGTCAAATGTAGGCCATCCTCAGGCCTTTATAAAACTCTTCTGAAAGCTAATGCAGCTGAATGTCACAAGGATGGACTGCTCTCAGACAACAAAGACATTATTTTAAAAAGGCACTTGACAGATTTCATTTTTTTTGGGGGTGGGGAGAATAAAGGCCCAACTCTTTTTACAGAGGTCACTAAAGGCCATCTGTTAAAACTGGCATTATGTGATGTTCACAATTCAGCAGGTGTGCTGATATCAGTCATATCTGGTGGCCATCTCAATTCACCTGAACTGTTTCCATCACACCATTCTCCACAGAGAAGTGGACGTGAGCCCCTCCGAGAGGACTTGTTTGTTGTGAGGCTAAAAGGTGTCAGGATGTCCCTTACGAAAGTACACGGAGGAAAGGCTTTGGTATCAAGCTGTAGTGTACACACAGGTACATGAATACATAAAATACATGGGGCATTTAAGTAGAATAGCTTAAATAATCAAATATCACACAACAGCATGAAGCCCGATGCTAAACATGTACGCAAAATACAGGACAAACAGTAAACGTGCCAACATGCAATGGCCCACAGTATAAAAACAATGCAAATCTAGACAACACTATTGGATTTATACACAAACGATTGCATACATTTGAAGGAGGAAATGCCTGTAAACATTCTATGTCTAAAGATACAGTATAAATGCTAAAGCTAGAGGATATGATGAGTACAATCCTACTGGGAGATACGTAACGTAGAGGCGCAGAGTTTTAGGCCTGTACCATCAGCCTGATGAAATAACCCATGTCTCATAAGAGTATGAATGTTTGGCCCTGTAAACTACAGATTTGCAAACATTAGTTGCAGATGTTTGACTGAGGTTCTGGAGATCTGAAGCAGTAAGGCACAAATGGTACGAATGGAATCAAAGGCCTGTAGTGTTTCATCTCTGCTTCTACAGAAATAATTTTCTGAAGCCTGAAATAGGCTGAAAGTGACAGATGGAGTGATGCATACAGTTAATGAAGTTTTCGGGCCCGACTAATAATACAGCTGGTCTAAAACCTTAAGAAAAAAAAAAAGTAAATATCCACTAAAAATGCCTCTTAAATAAAATAATGGAATGATGGAAGTGAGCTTTGTGATTAAGACTCATTAAGGTTTAAAATGACTGGCCACTCCAGCCCTTTCTAAACTGTATTTGTCTCAAATGATGGACTTGGAGAAAGAAACCCTAAGATGGTGGTTTTCTCCGAGATCATGGTTGTGGAACTGGATGAGGGACTCGATCGCTTCCTCCACTGAACCCATCTGAATCAGAGCCATCTTGCGATCCTTCCTGGAAGTTGATGAATTTGTTAGTATTTCTTGTGGATACACTGATATAGAATTTATGTGCTGTCAAATTCAGTAATCAACAGACTGTTGTGGCCAATTTTAACTCCAAATTACCAGGTAACAAAAGTAAAAACCATTTACTAAATACTAAAAACCATTCACTAAATTAAAAAATAAATTAACTAATAATAAAAAGTAAACTACCTAAATATGTAATATCACATAAGTGATCTGACTTTTTTAAATTGCTCACAAATTATGTTCCATTTAATCATTTATGAAAATTATTACAATAATCAAAAGGCAAAAATGACATTAAGAAATGACACAACAGCGTAAGATCCGTAATTCCGATATAGAGATGAATTAGACTTCTGCCGATAATAAAATATTAAATACCAATAACAATTATTCAAATTATTCAATGATACATTTTCTGTAAAATTCTGTAAAATAAAAAAAAAATCTGTATTGAATTTTATACACACACACAATACAGAAATTAATAAACAATTAAAACACTAAAAATTGTAAAAAAAAAAAAAAATTTGAATGCTATAAGCGAAATGTGCACAAATGTTTTAAACACACACACACATTATCAGTTACTGGCTGTGATTCCACTACCAGTATCAATAATTTAAAATGATGTTATACTGCATAAAGGTCACAGTATGATAATGCCACAAACTGCACACACTTACTGAAAGAACTTGAAGTTCTTGACAAGAGCACCATTGCTAGCAAAGAGCATCTTGAGGTCATCTTCAACAACCGAGGGTCTAAAACAGAGACACAGTTATACGGGAGATATTTGGGTTTTTTCAATTAATAGAAAAACAAGTCACTGATGTGTATAAACTCACGGGATGTTAGACAGGTGCAGGGTAGACGAGGGAGGAAAGATGTTGGAGTAGTTTTTGGAGCCTGGCTTCTTGAAGCGATGGAGAGGAGAGTTGCTGTAGTCTTTGGTGAGACCCTGGTCCTTATGTCCCTCCCGTGGCATCTGGACAGTCATGTGTTTGGACAGCGTGATGCGCAGGGGCCTGCCGTACAACTTCTGCCCATTTAGATGGCTCATTGCTGAAATACGAATGTATACATATAGAAATAAATAAATACTGAACTACAAGTGTATCAGTGTGCATCATTCTGCACCCCAGTTTCCCGTAACATCAATCAGTATAACATAGTAAAACACAGCATGACCGATAGCCCTCTGGTTTCCTTTGTTTGTTCATTGTGAATCATTGTTGTAGTGGTTAAAAAAAAAAAAAAATATGCACTCATCCATTTCTGATGACATTACAACACTTCCAATAAGCGAATATAGTGAGTAGCCCGTTATTGCAGTGTCAATTGGCATCAGTGACATTTTTTGAAAGAAATTAATACTTTTATTCAGCAAGGATGCAAAAAAATGACAGTGAAGACTTTCCAAATAAAGAAAACAAATGTTGCTCTTTTGAACTTTCTATTCAATAATCCTGAAAAAATGTAAGCAGCACAATTTTCAACATTGTTCATAAATGTTAAAAATTATTATATAATGATAATAATAATTATTATATATCATTATTATATATAGTGACACTGAAGACTTTTAAAATAAATTACATAAATTATTATTATTTTTTAATATTAATACAGAAAACAGTTGTTTTATATTGTAGTAATATTTAATAATATTGCTGTCTTACTACACTTTTAATCAAATAAATGCAGCCTTGGTAAGCATAAGAGACTTATTTTAAAGGGGTCATATAATGCTACATGCACTTTTACAAGTTGTTTGAACTGAAATGTGTGTCGACATCTGAGCCGCTGAAGATGCAGTGGATTATGTATGTTTTTGAAGAGAATGTGTCCCCGATCTACATAAATGCGTCTCTGTTCGCGCGAATCATTCGTGATCTAGCTTCACCTACAGAAGAAGTCAGTGTAAGGTTTTTTTAACGAATCTTTGCAAATCGCCTTTCCTAATGTCTAACTAGGGTTTATTCAAGCGAAAAAGGAACTTGCTTCAAGAAAAGACTGAAAAAAATCTTAGTTTAGAAAAAAAATGTGTTAAGAGGAGAGTTCAAAAAGTTCAGAAAACTGCAACGTGTGTTTTTCGATCTCCTGAGGAACAGATTCAACGGACTGACTGAAATAAGAATCGAAGGATAAAAAGTTGAGGGGATGAAAATGTTTTTAATCCAAAAAAGGATGAACTTATAAAACAGCAGGAGTCTTGACTATTAACCAAGTATTTTAAACTGCTTTTCTCCACAGACATGCAATAAAAAAGGTAAAAGAGGAACAGTTTTCAAAAAGCATGCAACATTTTATGAGGCGCCAATTTGCTTTGTTCCATCATTAAAAAGCTGCAGCCTTCCATCTGCGTTCAAAGGAAGTGCCAGAGTCCAGGGAAAGCGGCAGCTTTTCATGATGCGTCTCATCTCACCACACCAGAAAACAAGAGAGGCACTCAAAGAATCGGGCCTCACAGATGCCTTGTGAGGAAATCAAATCAAATTAAAAGACCAGAACAAACGAGTGACAAAAAAAGATGCTAAAGGATGACATACCGAAGAGAACAATGGGCATCCGATGACCCCTTTAAAAACATTGTAAAAATTCATACTGGCACAAACTCTTAAATGGTGGTGTATATATAAATTGTCCACTCCTTCTGCAAGCAAATTGTAATAATTTTAAGGCTGTTTACCAAGCTGAGCTTGTGTCCCATCAGACATCTGAATGAGAGCGTTCTCCTTCTTATTGAACATAATTTTCACTCTCAATACATCCCCATATACACCTACAAAGAGAAACAGTATGATGTCAGATACAAATATGCAGTACGTTATGATCAGACACACCTCATCAAAACCAGCCTGAGCTATCAAACAACTTCAGTTCACAATCAAGATACTCCATTATATCACATGCTCTTCAAGGTACAAAAACAAAAAAAAAACAAAAAAAACTATCCGAGGCAGCGAGGCAGTTCCACGGGAAATGGCGAAAAACGATGGTTGGATCATGAAGATGGTTAATGGATTGGGAGCGGAGAGAGAGGGGACGGAGTGGGGGGGATAGAAGAGAGAGAGATTTGTGTTTGTGTATTTAAAGACATGTTGGGTGTGTGTTTGTGTATGATTGTGGGATGATGTTGAATCGTGTAATTGTTCGTACAGATCAGAAGTGTAGAGAGACATATGGTGCGTGCAGCCAGATGGCAAAGGAGAACGAGGTTTCCAAAACAAAAAAATAGCAATGGGATGAGGGGAACGGGGAGGGAGAGAAATAGGAGAAAAAAAAGGAGGTAAAAAAACAAGGTCAGTATACATAAAGAAATACAAAATATAGTGCTAAAGTAGGGCTGCACGATAAATCGCATGCGATATTTAACGTGCATCTTATCAGTAAAGCCGGTTCTGTAATCAGCGGTAAATCTCCATCACCTGCGGGCTTTCACATTGAGCAGCATTAACTACACCGAGCCGTTGTTCACTGACGAGCAGTGCAAAAAATCGCGCGAATATGGACGTGGTTTTGCACAACTCGTCAGTGAACAACGGCTCAGTGTAGTTAATGCTGCTGGGACGCATGCGATTTATCGTGCAGCCCTATGCTAAAGTTAACAAAGAAACTTCACAAGCATAACAAGCTAATCTTTAGCAATTAGTTACTGTAGTAAACATTGACCTCATGTCAAAGTGTAAATGCACTTTCTGATGGTTTTACAAAGCAATACAAATAAAAGAACAGATTTTCTGAACAGACCAACAGAAAATGCAATTTGGCTATTTGGAGGAGATGAGTGGAATGTGAAGTAAAGCAGCAACATATTCAAATGGAAGCAACAAGAAGAATAAAGCTCAACTGAATGGCATAATTTTATGCGAAACCTGAGGATGTTAGAGGAAGAAATGACACAACGCACTGTAGAGGGGGTGAGGACACTTGAGCAAATAAAGAGGCGCAGCTTCGGTTAATGGACTCTAAGCAATGGGCTTTTTGTCCCGTGCATTGCAATTACTGAGGGACAATAGATCATATATGCACTAAATTTAGAGGAACATTCAGCAGTATTGCAGAAGTAACAACATCAGTCAATAATATACATTGTACTGTTAATTTGACTCAGTTAAACTGGCTACATGCCATTGTTTTCATTTTTTAACATTTTAATATATAATGTACTTTTTCTTCAAAAATAACGTTTTTGCACAGGGGTTAAAGCAAAAAAAAAATCCTGAGCCTGAACTTTTTTCCGGGGGCGGGTTGGGCAGCACATGCAAAGCATGCAATGACTGTGGCAACTTTAACATTTGAAAGGATACTTTGGCAAAGTTATTGCTTTCCTTATTCAAACTGTTTTTTTTTTTCATGAATATATGGTTGACCTGAAGAATGAAAGCTATATCATACACTTGGAAAATTATGAGCTATATCACCACTTATCGACACTAGGGATGTGACAATACACTTAGCTCACGAGATGAGACAAAATACAGATACTTGGTTCACTAGAACAAGACAATATTTTAATACTATTTTTAAGAAATTTTCAATGACAAAATATTTGTCTTTTAATTACAAAAATAAAACAATGCAATTGTATTTTGAAATATTGTAACTAATCTAGGGCTGTAACTAATGATTATTTTGGTAATCAAGTAATCTACTGATTATTTTGACAACTGAGCAATCTGGCATTTTTTTTTGCAACAAACAGACCCAAGTGAAAACCAGGCTTTAGTATGACTATTTATATATAAACTAACGATGAGGCAATAATAACTGGCTCAAATAAAGTATCAAAACCAAGTAATTACATGGTTTTATTGAACAACACTGTTAAAATACATATTGTAATATGCCTATACATAATATGAACATAACCAACTTAAGTACATTATGTATTATTATAAATACCTGCAGAGGGTGCCAATGGCCTGGTGACGTTTCACTTTACAGCGTGATTAAACAATGTTTAAATCCATTCAATTTTAATATTTGGCCACATGCAAACTCAGAAACTTTTATTTTGAAATCGCGATGTACAATAAATGGCATATTTAGAAATATGATGTATTCTCCTGTGTTGGCAAAGGTTTATAAATGATTTACGTTACAAATCTAGTGAGAAAATGCACAGTTTACCCAGATGAACGTTAAGCAATTTCAATTCACAGCATATACAGAGGAAGAGTTTAGCCTTTAGTCTTTACCGGTAAGTTACCATTAAGAGATCATGTCACGTGTGAACAGGACCTTTTCAAATATCCCGGTAAATTTGTTCTGGCAATCATATCGTTCTTAAGGAGATGACGTGATTACTCTGAGCTGTTTACAAAGCTCTGCTGCTTTTTAATTAGTTTTTCTATGTAAATATGCGCTAGATGGACATCTTTGCACATTGCGCCTCGCAGCTTTTTCAACGTGTCGTGCTTCTCTATTCATCATGCCTGGGCCTCTGCAATTGGATACTATTATGCGCGTCTCGTGTTTATAAGAGCAAAAAATTCTGATTGGCTAGTAATGTTAGTTTGGTTGAGAGTGAAAGCTGTGCTTCTCTCATACCATTGGTAGGCGAACTCGTGGACTCGAAAGTGATATCAATACGTTTTTTTTTAAATGTAGGATTATTTTTTTCCACAGCCGAACGCTGCATGCCGGAGATCTGGCATGGTGACGGAGAACTTTAAGTCCTGTGTGGTGCAACTGTTTTAATTTAAATATTAATATTAAATTAAGTATTAATATTCATACCAATTATTTTTTACAATAAATAAATAAATATAAATAAATAAATTATACTTTTATATTTTTTATTAGATTTTTTTTTCTGACATTTCCATTATTTCAATTTAAATTATTAATATTTATACTACTACACATTATTACATTACATGAAAAGTGTGTTCCACCAATATTTATTTTGTGGTGCCTTTAGGGCCTTTCGCACCGCGGGAACCTTTTCATAGTACCAGAACTAATTGTGGAACTACCCACTCGGTGCGAATGCAACCCTTTAAATGGTACTGGGAAATAGTTCACGAAAAATCATCCCAGTACTTTAGTACAGTACATTTAGTTCTGGAACTAAAGCGGTGCGAAAGGCCCTATTGTCATTTTTAAATTGGAAATATTTGTATCAACATTTTTACATTATAAACTAAAAAAAAGAAGAAGTCATTTTGTAAATTTTAGTTGTGGTGCTTTTGCTTCAATTTAAATTACCTGTTCATTTATAGATTTTAAAAAATGTTCTCATCAAAGTTCTTGTGGTGCCATTGCTAAAGTTTTAATTTAAATTAAATACAAAAAAAAACATTTTGTTTCAATTAAAGCGTTCCATTTAGTTTTGCTGTGATACCATTGCTTTCATTTAAATTATTACTATTTAAACCAATATTTTTACATTATATTATAAAAACATACATTGAAACGTAAAATATAAAAAGTGTGTGGTCAACTGCTGAAATTTTGCCATTGTGACTCTACATTTGATACAACTGATGCATTTCTCATTCATTAAAAAAATGAAACATAAGAAGAATAAAATGTAAGGATTATTAAGAACATAATGGCACAATAGTAACATCAGCCATCCAACAACAACAAAAAATCCTCAAAGTCCTAATATCTAAATAGACATCTTGAGCACTTTCTAGGTCTATCAGTGACTGAGAACTGCTAACCTCAGGGTTCAGGTTGCTGACCAGCATGACGCAGTGGGTGCCGGGGAGGACGGGGAAGCCCAGTCTGCTCGCAGCCGCCGCTGCCCCGGGAATGGTCAGCGAGGCGAGGGCTCCGGGAACCCCAGGTATTGTCAACCCTGTTCAAGATGGATTCAATTTTATGCTATACAAGACACAAGAATTCAGACAAATATGAAATACAGAAGGCATTAGAGTGTAGCTTTTTTTCCCCTCGTACCTGCAGCCTGCTGGATAGCAAAAGCCGGAGGGAAGGCGTGCGCTCCTGCATATGGTGCGGCAGAGATGATCCCGGGAGCAGCTGCAAAATACCAGGACATTTACACTTTCTAAGAGAGGCAGAATGGGAATGTGGTTAAGAATAGAGTGTGCTGGATGTAATTTAATAGCCTTTTGTACCAAAAGCAGCAGCAACAGCGTGATGTTCAATAGTGGGTTGGCTGTTCCCAGTTGGCAGGTCCGGGCGAGTGTAGTCACGGCTCTTGTCATTATTATATTTGACGTTTAAACTGGTAAGTTTGGAAAAGCTGATACGCAAGGTACAGCAGCCATTGTAGATGTTCTGTCCTTCTAGAGCCTGAGGAAAGAGAGATTTTTAAATGTAGACTTTCACATTCTTTCACAGTTCGTGAGTCAAGTCACCTATTTCTATAGCGCTTTATACAATACCGATTATGTCAAAGCAGCTTCACCGATAAACAGCAGAATCAATTATGGAAACTCAACTATGGAGACAGTTCAGATTCTGCTGTAAAATGGCTCTAAATGACAATAAGTGTCATTATTATTTAACTCAAGTCAGTTCAGTGTTGCTTCCATTCAGACAGGGCTGCATGATGAATTGCATTTTAATCATGATTTCTGTTTCTCTCGATTTATTAAGCATAATCATCTGCAATATTTGCCCACTGATTATTTATCCCAAAGGCATATTTTAATTTGCCATTTGCATTATCTTGCATTGGTAACAAGCCTCAACAAGCTTTCATGATTGCGGTTGCCAGATTTCATGAGTTTAAATCCCCCAATCAGAGCTTTTGATACATCCCCAATCGATACATTTTCTGCTCAGTGGTTAACTAAATCTTCTCAACCTAGCAACCATGCACAGGCACTCTCTGATGAAAAACAAAGTTTCAATACTTGTCATTAGAGATTATGGCTGATAGATGGCGCTACTCACCAGCTTGGCATGTTGTGCCGTCAGGCCATCAACAAACTGGAGGAGAGCTTGAAACTGGTTGTTTTTTGTGAAAGTGATCACTTTCAGCACAGTGCCAAACTTCGAGAAGATCTGTTGAGGAACCAAACATATTTTAGTATCGAACAACCATAACTGCCAACAGTTACAGCCTTTTTATATAACGCATTTTAAAAGTAGTTTGAATGCATTAACTATGCCTTGTAATGCACTTTATAATGCATTGTATGATCTCATGAATAATTGTAACCACAGTTATAATTAAAACACATGACAACGAACTAGGGCTGGGTAAAAAATATCGCTATCTCGATATTAATTGATTCTCATTTTTACGGAACGATATCGATTCTTAAATCCCAAGAATCGATTAGTCTAGCCTGTTTTCAGTTAATGGACGGAATATTGAAGGGCATTTCCCATCCAATAAATCACAATAAGCATTGTGCTTTGGTACTTTTAATATGAAACACAGTCTCAGATTTCAAATTCTTTCCATTGTATTGCAGTACTCAAACAATAAATGCTGTTTTGGCACTGTTTAATGTGGAGTGACAGATCGCTGTAGCGCCTCAGACGCGGCAGCACGAGGCGCACGTGAACTAATCATCTCCTCCACATTAATACCAGTTTCAGCACAAAATAAACATGACTAAACATCCGAAGGTAAGTTAAAAGAAAGAGTATAACTTTACAATCCGTTTCCTGTCTCATGTAATCGCTCAATCAGTGTTTCAGCCGCGCAAAGACGTCAATATAACGGCTTGTAAACAATGTCACGTAACATCACATTTACCTCAGAAAAAAACATATTTGGTGAACATAAACTCATTAGTCAGATAGAAAAATAAACTGTAGAGAGGGGCATTTTGCTAAATATATGCACCATATAACATTCATTATAAATTTATATAATATACTGTTCTTCAATGTTTAATTTATGTTTGAATAAATCCATCAAGTTTTTATGACAGCCACCATTATGTTTATATTTTTTAAAAAACAAATTGAAGTAGAAATGTTATTATGTAATTGTAACTTTATTATTTTAAAACTTCATTAAGCGTAATTTTAACAAATCAGTCAATTTTAACCTTCAATATTATAGTAATGTAGTACAAAGTGACTCTCAAGTATATTTTACAGCATTAGTTGAGAGATTTTTTTTTCCTTGAGAACATTTGGCATGTACTGTACCTGATATATTTCCAAAATAATCGATATTGAATCGAATAGAATTGGTAATCGAATCGAATCGAATCGCAAGCTTGTGAATGAGAATCAAATCGAATCGTGAAATTTGTGTCCAAACCCAGCCCTAGTCAAAACCACCACCTACCTACCTTATCGAATGCTGGATAGATGGCACGTAGTTCTGTTAACCAGCTAATCGAATCGTGAAATTTGTGTCAAAACCCAGCCCTACAACGAACCTTCAAATATTATAATGCATTTTAACTCTGGTTATTATTATTGAAAATACAAAATGCATTACACATAAAGAATTTAAAGTGTTACCAAAATTAGCCAAAACCTTATGGCTGAGAGTGAGCAAATGATGAAAATGTTCTCTTTAGTAAGAAAGGAACTAGAGCAAGTGTATACCTGGTGCAGGACATCTAGGGTCACAGGGTAGAAGAGGTTTTCAACGATGACCCTCAGGACAGGGCTGGGGCCAGTCAAACCAGATGGGTCAACGGCACCTAGAGTCATGCTACCTGTCTGGACAGCATTCACCGCCTGCAGTGCTGCCTGTGCCCTCTGTAGACACCAAAAATCACGCATATTATATTTAAATGACCATTTTTTTATTGCATTTTATTGATTTTACACCTATGCATCCATATGCACATTTTTATGTCTGAAAATGCATGAGTGAAATTTGTAGACAGCAGAGTATGGAGTAAACACTGTAAGCTACGTTTCTGTGTTTACTCAAACAGAACGAAGCAAAGTAAATTAAGCAATCCTCCAAATGAACGCTGATGGGCTACAGCTGTGGAATTCACAGCTAAAGGCCTTTAGTGGCATGTAAACTGTGTTTAGAGAGGAAAACGGGCAGTGTGGAAAATGCGGCAACAAAAAACAAGATGCACAGAACAGAGCCAATCAGACCCTCCGCTCGTATCCATCATCCAGTGCACAGCTGCTGCAAATAACTCATTGTTATAAAATGCGTCTTTCTTTATTTACGTGAAAACATTTACAAATGAATCAATATGTCAGAAATGTGGAATGAAGCCACATGCAGCCCTGTACGTAGTGCATGTGCTGGCTGAGAGAATTTGAAGCACATACCACTTGGTTCGGTGAGCTGTCTGTTTTTAGCTCTTTGTGGTTTGAGTACTGCATGAAGATGGGATGATTTCTGATGACGGGCGTTACGGAGGAGTAGTAAGTAACCATCGTCTGGGCTGCTTCTTCAGTATTCATTTCCAAGAAAGCCTGCACAAAAATGCAGATCATGCAATTTGCCTTAAGCCCGGAAAATGCTCTATGCAAGCACATGAACACAAACACTTCTAGCTAAACAAACTCCGTTTCACAGAAATTAAAAAAAAAAAAGTATTTTTTGTTCGCCAAGATGGCATTTATTTGGTCACCAAACTAGTAAGAAAGAAAAGTAATATTGTGAAATATTATTAAAATTTAAATGAATGGATTTTCTATTTTAATATAATTTAAAATATAATTTACCCCTGTGGTGCAAACCTGATTTTTCATCATTACTCAAGTCTTCAGCATTACATGATCCTTCAGAAGTTATATTAATATGCTGATTTGCTGCTCAAGAAACAGTTCTAATTATCAACTTTGAAAACAGTTGTGATCCTTAACATATTTGTAGAAACAGTTATATAGATTTATATAAATATATAATTTTTCTCCAAGTTTTTCAAAAGAACAATTTATTTGAAATATTTTTTTTTTACTAAAATTATAAATGTATTCATTGTCACTGTTGATCAACATATAATGCGTCATTGCTGAATAAGTGTTCATTTTTCAAAAATGCTAATTTTGTTAAGTCTCAATATATTATAGTTTTTATTAATAGTATGATTTAGTTTGTTTTAATTTATTTTTGTCATTTTATTAGTTTTTATGTCTATATAGTTTTCAATATTTTTATTTCAGTTTTTATTATTTTAGTTCAAGTTAAACTAAATGAAAATGAGAAACATTTCCTTGGGAAATAACTGCAAGTTTTATTTTATTTTAGTTTAGTTACTATTTATTTTATGGTTTTAGTTATCTATCATTACCTTGACTTGTTATTAGGGATGTAACGATTAACTGTGAGCCGGGTGAAAATCGATTAAAATATGTGACGATTTAAATCGGTTGAAATCGCGATTCATTTAGGTGTAGGAGTTTATATGAATGTATGTCTGAGGGGAACTTACTGTCTTTAGAAAAGTTTAGATGGTATTTTTTTCTTTCATCTTGCCTCTGTATAATGCATATTAAAGTTCATAAGTGCAGCGCTGCTTTGTTTACAGCAGGAACCAAGGAAACGCTTTAAGCGCCACCTGCTGGCAGAGAGTGAATCTGCGTCTCATTCAGCTCAGCTTTCACGCAGATATTTTTATGTAGTCAACACATTCTGTTTTTGCTTCAAATTTCGAAATTATATAATCTAATTTAGATTAAAAACTGCTCATGTTGCATGTATGCAGCATCTTTGTTTGGATCATTATTAAAATGCAGTGGTTGCCTCTAATTTTAAAAGGAAAGAGCACAGACAAAGGCTTATTTTGTTTATATGAAGAGATTTCTTTTATTTGTGTTACTTATTTATTGGATTTGGGGCTTGTTTTAAAATTTTCAATTTAGTTTTATTTACATTTACATTATATTTCAATTTTGTCATTTAGCAGACGCTTTTATCCAAAGTGACTTACAAATGAGGACAATAGAAGCAATCAAAACCAACAAAAGAGCAATAATTTACAAGTGCTATATTAGTATATTATTATAGTGTTCTATTTCAATTTCACAAAGAAATGTGCAGCATTTTGTCCAAGCAATAATAAAAGGACACATTTAATTTAGAATTTGACTTAAATCTAATTTTGTAAAAAAAAAAAAAAACCGTGAATCGAATTGTGAAATCAAAATCGTAAATCGAATCGCAAGTTGAGTGAATCGTTACATCCCTATTTGTTATAGTACAACACATTAAGACACTCACAAACAATGTCTAGCAAAAGAAATACTACAATCTGATGTTAACATTGCTAAGCTAAACACGTTTTACCCCATACAAAAACAATATCTAAGCACACAAATATTGGGGACAGTGGTAATATTTTCCAGTTTAAGTACAGCATTTACTACATATATAAAAAATCCAAAAATTTTTGGTGGACAGCAAAGTTAAGTCAACTTGTCTCCTTTTTCGAGCTAATTCTAAGAGTGTCATAAATGGAGAGGGAATGATACCTGGTTCTTTCCCTTCAGCATGAGCAGATTGGTGACTTTGCCAAAGGGAAGGCCGAGGTAGATGACCTCCGCTTCGTTGATGTCATTGGGCAGCTTGCGGACATGTATAACTCTGGATGGGACGCCAGGACTTCTGATGTCACCTTTGAACTTCTTGCTGTCGTTGCCGTTGTCTGTGTGGAAAGCAGATGATCAGGGCGGGTTGCTGGGACAAAACTAAATGCATTTACCAAGGAAATAATGAGTCAAGAGCAAACAGATCCTACCTGCTGAGCTCATGATATAGGGCCCACTGGAAACACAGGAGAACAGCTCGTCAGATCCTCTCTGGAAAAAAAAAAAGAGAAAAGCTCCAGGTCAAACCGGTTTCAGTCATTTTTAAGAAGTTTAGACAGGCAGTTCTGAGGTTTACAAACAGAACACTTGAGGTAAAGAGGAAAAAACTATGGTAGACTAATCCAACCTTTAACCGGAACGCCAACAACCATCAGTAAAGGAAAGAATGATAGTGGGATGTCCAAATAAGGACAAGTTTAACGCAGGAAATGGACAATGTTGCATTCAGTTTTCCTGTGTAAACAGCATAGCCTTAAGGCTGGGTGGGGTCAGAGATCGATCATAAGACATCCCCCACCAGAAACCTATGAAGCAAGATCTCAGTAGACCATGGGGAGAGGGGCAGTTTTACATTTCCGGGTCGTCAACAAGGAGGAATGAGTGTGCAGACTGAATCTTGAATTTGCTCTTTCACACTTTCCTTTGATTTAAAGAAGGACGGAACATGTCTACGTGAAGGACCAGGACATTTATACAACTAAACCTCTGTGCATGGTATTAAACACCACATTTCAACCCAGGAAGAGATCACCCAAAAAAATGGAAACTCATCATTTACTCCCCAAAACCTGTACGAGTGTCTTTCTTCTGTAGAACATAACAGCAGATATTTTGAAGAACATGGGTAACCAGACAGTTTCTGGTTCACACTGACTTGGTGTCAGCGGGGACCAGCAACTGTTTGGTTATCCATATTCTTAAACATATCAAAATATCTGCTTCTGTGTTCAGCGGAAGAAATTAATAGAGGTTGGAACAACTATCCCATTAAACCAAGATTACATGTGACTAACAAATTAATAAACCACAGTTCTGCAAATAACCTGCGTCTTTGTCCCAACAGTTGAAACAAACAAAGCAACAGAAGATGGCTGGATTAAGATTGTGTGTATGTATATGACTAAAGCAAGAGTGAATTAAGTGTATTCAGCAGAAACTCCATGCAACCACACAGGCCTGCCCACCACATATTAAAATTCCACAGTCAAACGACTCAATGAAAACCACACGTAAACCAGAGGGGGGTGGCTACACAACAAGCATCTGGTACAACAAACTAAGCTAACAAACAACCGTTTAAAGGGTTACTGCAAAACAAGCTAAACTGGGAGCTTAAAGATTTGACAGAAACCTTGTTTACAGCTCTGCTCAGTTGCCTGTTACCATAAAATGCCAATGAATTGACAACAAGCCTGCAATGTTATAGCAATAATGCTAAATTATCATTTTAGCAGCAGGACTACTATTCTAGTCAAATGAATTTCGGGTTTTGTGTTACCCACAGAATTAGAGAAATTTGCCTTGTTCAATGTAACCAGTACTTTGCAGACAGGTACAGATTGTTATGTGTATTATTTCCTCTATTTTTATATTCAGATTAACTTCTAACATTCAGTTAAATCATAAAAACATCTTGAGAAAATCTCAATACAAGTATCCTTATTTCACACGGTACATTATAATGTTGTGATGCCTAAATTACCTTCAAGCATTTAAAACATTGAAAAATTCCATGAATTCAGTTTGGTTTTAGTGAAATTGTGGTCAACATTTTAACCATACGAACCAATGTGGTCACAATTTCACTACATTAAAACTACGGAATACACAGCACATCTGTACAATTTGGCTGAAATGAGGGAATTAATGAATAAAATGTGAAATGGTGTGAACAAATTCTTAATTTGAGGCCACAATATCCATTAGTGTGGTTCTTATTTTTTTAGTGCTTGCTTTATTTTTTAATTTATTTAATATCAGCCATTGCATTAAATAATTATCAACTCATCTGTTTCCCGGTGCACAAAGTAGTGCATCACAACAAAAACACAATGTTCCATCTTTTAACACATTGAAATAGTTTTCTATGGTAAACAACAGCATGTTACATATGCCGCTGATAGAATTTAACTTGCACTGAACCTGGAACATTCCTCAAAACTTCTAGATAGTGTCAGACAACACTATCTCAGTGCATTAAACAAAATTCATTGAGCATGACGAACAAACATTCAATGTGTTAACTTTTTCTTGGGTGTGGCATGATGGGATACTTGGTTAAATAGATTAAAAGGTGTGAAAGACAGGGGGAGGGGCGAAGACTGCAACAATTCACAACTAGACTTGTGCCGGTATTCGATAATGCGATATATCACGGTAATGCATATGCACGATATTGTTATCGTGAGCACTTCTAAATACCGTGAATAATTATATATTACAAATTATTCCGAATTTTTAATGCATTTTAAGAATACTTTTCCAATCAACTGGTCAAAATGCACAATACCGCTGTATTCATGAAAGAAGCTGCGTGAAAGACGCGTGCGCACTCTGACCTAAACAAGCTTTTAAACAAAGATTAATAACTTCTGTAGCAAATATAGCTATTGCCCATTGTGAATGTTAATGCATTAACTAAGGTTAACTATTGAGGTATATTTGTAAAGGGTTCTTTTGCACTTTAATCTGTGTAAAACTTTTAACTTTATACATTTTTCTGTATTGCTTTATTGCATTTAAATGTTCAGTTATTTTTGTTATAAGAAAAAAAGTTATTAAACCTGTTATACTGTATTATGACAGCACTTTTTTTTAAACAAAATTTCAATATCGTGATAATACCGTATACCATAATAAAAGCATTAGCAATTAATCGCAACATGAAAATTTGATACCGGCATATCCCTATTCACAACAAACCATAAAAAATGGGGTTGTTAACACAGCAGCTCTGATTGTAATGCGTTCACCATGGAGACCTTGTGCCTGCGCTGCAGGTAACTGAAACCCAACCCTGAACTGAATACACAAGACCCATTATCTCCATATGCCCAGGTGTGCCTTTCACCCACAATTACTGTTCAAACTTGAGCCATTTACCACACTAACCATACAGGTTATGAGCACTGATCCAGACTGGAGGATCAGAACACTGATTTACGTTATAATAGCAATAGTAATTGTCCATGTACAGACTCTATACAGATTTTAACATATAAACATCTGGACACTACAAACTCAACAACTGAAAAAGTTGGTTCTGAGATTGGATTTAAAATAGTTGCATTTTTCTTGCATTAAGTATCAGGTTCAGATCTGAGTAAAATAGGATATTTGATGAGAAACAGTGATTTTCTTCTTGGGAACTGACTGAATTGTGAAACAGACAAGAATTGAGCTTAACTGAATGCAAGTTTGCTAAAACAAAACCTTCTAAATAGCTGTTTGGCTATTGGTTAACATTATTGGGGCCTAGATGATGTCATCAGATAAGGAAGGTCGTTTTGGTGGATGTTGCATTTACATTTTGATCAAAGATAGTGAATAGTAGAATAACATGCACCAATCATTCACAAAAAAACAAACAGAGAAGAAGCAAAAATGTCATGATTTCATGTTAACTAGTAACACAGGAAAGCTTCAGATCCTCGTATATTGGGCTAATTTAAACTCCATCTAACAAGATGACAAACCACAATAGTTCCAGTTAAAACAAGCTGGGACTATTGCGAATTGTCGGCTTGCTGCCTGTAACCAGCACCTGCGACCCACAAGCTATTGACCTGCATTCTTCACGAGATACAGAGAACAAGAAAGAGAGACTGATAGCATCAAGCGAACCCCCATGTGACCCATTAGCACCTCCCCCAGCCATCTTCCCTCTGATCAGCACTGCTGAACAAACACAGGAGCTACATGTGTGTGCGGAGTGATGAGGCAAACATATTTGCATTTGATGAATAGACTGCATTCATCTCGTCATATCAACAGCCAAAACCAATCTCTGAGGAATGTCTCTGAAACGGGTTCAATCATTAGGCTGAGGTAGTAAGTGTGCCGAAACAATAAAATTAATGTCACCTGAAGATCATCTAACAGTCAGAACATCTGATGACCAATTTTAAGACATTCAATTACAACAGAACTTCTACTTTTTTTAATTAATGCCTTTGATCTTATCGTGCATGAATTTTCAGTGCATTTTAAATAAAGAAAACCCATTTTGTGCTGATAACAAAGGCAGTGTGTAGCTATAGAAAAATTAAATTAACCAATAATATAGCCCGTTGCTCAAGATCAATAGGAATTGTATAAACCATGTTTGGTTTCACCATGACTTTACTTTGCTGATGACATCACTTAGGCCACAGTAATTTTAACCAATAGCTAGTTAGGAGGTTTTGTTTTAGCAAACCTTTATTCAATCAAGCTCAATTGTTGTTGGTTTGCTCCAGGTGTGTTCACGGTGTGTGTGTGTTCACTACTGTGTGTGTGCACTTGGATGGGTTAAATACAGAGCAGAAATTCCGTTCACGGTGTGTGTGTGTTCACTACTGTGTGTGTGCACTTGGATGGGTTAAATACAGAGCACAAATTCCGAGTATGGGACACCATACTTGGCCACACGTGACGTCACTTCACTTCACTTCACTTTCACAATCCAATCAATTCCCAGTGTATGAAATCAAGCCCTAGCCAACACCTTTTCTTATTAAATCTCCTATTTCACTTACAAATGTCATGTTACAAAAGTAAAATGAGTTCTGAATGGAGTTTCATGTTGCCTTTATCCCGTAGCCTAATTGATCTGAACCTGTGACGTAATACAAAAAAATGTCCCTTACAGATCTTTAAAATCCAAAACGAAGAAACCTCTCAGAATCAAAATTTTCAATTAGCATTCAACTCTTAAAACAGTGCTTATCTCTGTACTGTGGTAATCCTCAGACAAATGCAGTGCCTGTAGGTTTCATGCTGCATAAGTTACTGCATGACCTAAAGCATGTAAGTAACTAACCTAAATGAACCTCATGAATCAGGCTTTTGTTCTACATCCTGTGGGTCCCTCCTCACTAGCCACATACTACAGGAAATAATCTTAAATGAGGGAATGAGTGGGAGTGTTCATGTTGTGGCCTCGTGAAGGCTGATCCAGGCAGCAAGTTAAGGATTTCTTAACTAGGGCCTATGTGTTTCACAGCAGCCAAATATTATAAACCAGAATTTGTTTTGGAAATTAAACGACAACTTTGAGTTAAAGGGGTCATATGATGCTTTTTTAAAGATCATTATTTGAGGAAGCACAATGTGGCATGGCACGATGCCATAGTGTTTGATCTAACAAATATCTGATTCACTTTGAAATGATTCACCCCATTATTGCCAGGATGAATCTTGTCTGGAAGGAGCTATAGCACGAGGTGTGGAAGTCACAAATGGCGCTTTTCCACTGCATGGTACGGCACAGTACAACCGGTACGGTTCACTTTTGGGGGGGGTTTCCACTGGGTACAGTACCTGGTACCTGGTATTTTTTTCAGTACCACCTAGGTTGAGGTTCCAAGTAGGGCTGCACGATTATGACAAAAATCATAATTGTCGATTATTCCCTTGAAATTGTAATTGCGATTATTAATTAACGATCACGTAATTGTGGCATCCATAATTGCATTTGTACCCAAAAACGCTTGTTTTGTTTACTGTGTGGAGACGTGCTGATATCGCGTTTGGTCTCGTTCTGCATCGCGTATCTTGTCAGTGTCTGCGCTTGCTTGGCCATCGGGTATAAAAAAGCTTAGTTTACCGCGACAGTTGTCGCGGCAGCCGTCGCGTGAAGGCTTCCTCGTGTGCAGACCAAAGAGTGTAAAGACCATCAACTCTACAGTGCGACTCCACCGCGCAGGGACACCGGCAAAGGATAAGTATCGCTTTTTATTTCTCCTCTTTCCTATTACTTGTTTCGCTTCTGTTTAAGTTTTTATAACCATTTCTTACTATGTGTAAGTAAGTTGTTGTGTAATTGCGATTAGAAATTCGATTAATTGTGCAGCCCTAGTTCCAAGCGAACCGTACCATTACCGAAACGTGACGTTTTTCAGGAGTCACAGCAGTAGAGGCGGCGCAACTATAACGACAAGTGAATAATCCCGCCCTCTCTAAAGCGGTACTGAACTGTAGTGGAAACGCAAACCGAGCCGAGTCGAGTCGTACCACGCAGTGGAAAAGCGCCAAAAAGCCATGTGAATTCTCAATACAGAGAGTCCCGGCACACAAATAGTTAAAGAAAGATAAGCGAAACAATCTGCTCTTATTCAACCAACCCAAGCTGTACAGCACATGTAGTCGTAGTGACTGAAGGACTTAAAATAAGATTCTTACCTTTGTACCAACTGCAATATCGTGAACGACGCTGCAAAAGAAAACAGAAATGGACAAATCAGAGCAGAAAACCATAAACAAAATGAAAAAACATTCTCACCCCATGCACTTGTCTAAAATAGTCCCAGTGAAACAAAAGGTAAAGAAAAACATTACATGCAAAGATGTCTATTATGTAATTTAAGAATCCAGCCCATTTTGTGAAATTAATATCCTCAACCTAAATATTAACCGTAATTCATATTAAAGTGGGGCTAATGAGTTCAATATTTAATTTGGCTCATGTTGGTTAGATGTTTTTCCCATTAAAGGAATAAGCAGATTGCAGCTAGACTGCGTAATCTAGTTCCTTCCCACAGCTCTCTCTTAGAGCAAGAAATATGAGTGGTATTTTGGGTCAGTCTATGGCTGAAGATTAACCCCCACATCCTGTTTCACATGAACTCTCAGTAAACGCAATACCAGAATCTCTCCTCTGGCCCGGGTCTTCGAAAAAGCCCTCATATCAACGCGGCGCAGCATGAAAGCTTTTATGTTTGAAACTAGTGTTGTCACGGTATCAAAATTTCAGTATTCGGTACCAATACCAGTGAAAATCCACTGTTCTAGGCTCGGTACCACCGGTACTTAAGAAAACCTGGTACCGTAACGTTTTCATCTTTTTAGTACCGACTTGGTACCGAAATACCGGGTCTTTTGACAACACTATTTGAAACAATGGAAAGAAAAAGAAACCGAGTGTACCAAAACAAAGTCCTGATACATCTTCCCCAAAGGGAAAAAACCTTCATGCAAACATTCAAATAGGTGTGAGAGCTGAAACGAGGGGGCCCTATGGACTGGGGTCATTTTTCACAATACCTGGGGTGTGGTTTTAGTTTCTGTGTATCATCTTACATGGTGCATGTCCAGTGCGTCTCTCTGGTTCATTCGGTCATGGTTCAACCATTTACCATGTTAACCACAGTTTCCACCACACTACAGTAGTCGGACAGTAATGGTTGCTATTCAGCAAATAGGGACTAAAACTTCTAAAATGTAAATATTAGTTTAGTTTAGGATACGAGTTTGACAAAATGTTGTGTGTCAAACTCAGGAAGTTGAATTCCCTATGAGCTGTTTTATTTTCCATGTATTTTTATTTATATTTGGTTTGCCATTTTGTAACCCAAAATTACCAAGTCTAAATACCTTAAAGCCCATATTTTTGCAATGCTCTAGCAATAAACCTTAATTGAACAGCTTAAAAAAGGACGTGTGCTTCCAATGATTAAAAAAGTCAAGGAACACCAATGTGAATCATATTCAGGAAATTAAAATGGCTAAAGTAACTACTGTGTTTTGGTGGAAACTATGGCAACCATGACGATTTTTGTAAGCGAAGCATCTTAGTATGCTAATATTTGACTAATAAAACAACTAAATAAAATGTAATCTGTGAGCGGGTAATAAAGAAAATAAAAACACCAGCTCTGAGCTGTAAAATTTCAGATGGACTTACTCTAATTCTACGTAACTTGATCCCATAGGATACAATTCAGTCTCTAGGCGGCTGCACAGGGAAAAAGATGTCAATGCCATCACACAACCTAACTATTCAATTTACTTATACTCACTTTACTAATAGTTTTCTGGTCAGAAAGAATAACATAACTTTTGGGGTTTGTTTCCCTATATTTGTGAGTTTTAAAGAATGTTGTACTTTACTCTTTCTACTTAAACTTTCATCACTGCATATACGATGCAACAAGTCCTCTCGATGGAAATCTGCCTAGTTTTGCAGAAAAACTGCCTTATTTAGGCTGCAAAACTCGAACTCTGAATTACGTCGTACTAATAAAACAGGCAAACTTGGGAAAAAAACAAAATGTATTTAACAAAGCTGCGAGCATCAGACAGAAACCCGATTCACGGGAAAACTACGGGTTTGCTTCACCGTAACTGGTGATGAGAGCGCTCGCGCTGTCCAGTCAAACAAAATAAAATGCATTACAGTTGATAAAGGTAGGGTTTTATTCGTTCAAGGCTTATCGCCCGGCCAGCTAAATTTATTTTCCATTCATAGTAACGTAGCATCACTTACCCGTCCATTGCACACCGAGGAACAGCAGCTCTGATCCGCAACTTTGCTGCTTGGCTGAGTTTTCTTAAAGCGCTACAAAATGGCGGAGTGCGTTGAGCGGAGCCTCAGCGATGAGCTCGGTGATTGGTCAAGCCTGGACAACAGTGGGCGTCTGAGACACTAGGAAGGTTGTGATTGGATAAGACGAGTTGAAAGCAAAGGGCGGTTACAGTTGAGGAGGGAAAAACCGCCAGTCGCGCATCCTAGTATTGTTCTGCGTCTTTGAAGAATGGACCAGTCATTTAGGAAACCGTTTTTTTTTTGTTCAATCAAAGCATTAACGTGTTATTTTGTCAGTGAAACAGTAACTTTACTTAATGAAATAAATGTATGATATCTAATATATTTATGATATATTACTATGACTCTAATAGAATACACTTTTCCATAGTTCAGTCTCTTAAAGGAGTCCTCCTAAGGAGTTAGACACAACAACAACAACAAACTGAAAGCTAATATAACCAGCTCCATGAATATTTCAGGTTGCAGTGGTAGCAGAGATCCATTATGTTTGGCTATTATGTATGACTTGATTGCTGTTTCCACAACATACAAAAATAATAGTGCTTATGTAAATGAAATGCATGAAGGTTTCAGCATCACTGATACTGACCAAAGTAGACCAATGATGAAGGACGAACTTCATCTAGTGCATTTCAGACTAAATAACCTTTGACCCCTTTTGTTGTTACACATTGTAGACACAGTCTCGTGATCAGACCCTTATTTAGTTGGATTGCTGTCAGTTAGATTTAAGTGCCTCTGGCATCAAAGGCCCCATGATCTCCTTGATGTCTCTGGAGTGAGACGGAGTCTCTTGTGACCACCTGGCTGAGGAGAGTCATTTCACTCTGTTCATAGACAAAACAGTTTTGGTTTTGTGAAACCATCTTGTATCCAAGAAAATAGATACTATGAAAAAAAGTTTATTTTTTAGAAATCAAGTTGATATAGCATATGTGACATGAACTAAAATGACAGTTTCAATGGAAACTGTTTCTATGTAAATGTTTTAAATGTCTTGTCCAGAAGGACTATGGGACATTAATCATCATCAATAATTACCTGTTCGTCACACTCAGGAAATTACTTTTCCCCTGTGCCGCACCTGCTTAAATCTAAATAATAGATGGGGGGCCACAACAGAAACTGAGACCCATTGTCTCCAAGGTAGCCAACTGAAGGCATCACATGACCTGGCCAGGTAAATAATAGGGCAGAGTTGAGGCCGAGCAATCAGTTAGGCCTTAACTGAGAAGCTTTCAGAGTTAAAGAATACAATCAATGTATTGTTTTCAATATATTATGTTTTGTAAAAATAATGAATTGGAAATAATTGATTATGAAAGTACAGTAGGGTACACGTGTCTGTCATTTATCAGGATTAGACTGGTTTGATTTAATTTTTTTCTTTGGCTGACTATTTCTTGTAATGTTAAAAAAAGTAGTTTAACACTGCACAGTTCTTTTTAAATTATTATTTACATACAGATATTTGATACAGAAAAATTGTATCAAAGTTATGTGTATGTTAACATTACAGTGGCATACAGGAAAATAACTGCATAAATAACTTTGATACTGTTTCCGTACATTATTTACATTTGCATGTTTCCATTACAGTGGTGTAAGAAAAGAAAACACACTATAAGGTTTTCGTTTGTTTTACATAAACACTATCAAAGTTATTTAATTTGCATGTTTACAGAAACATTGTATAAAAGTTACATAGGTACATTTATATATTTGATCCAGTGTTTCTGTAAAAATATAAACAACTTTCTAACATTTTTCCTGTACACCAGTTAACATAAATAACTAGGTATAGAAACACAGTATCAAAGTTATTTATATCTACATTTGCATAACGGTGGCATACAAGAAAAGGTTTATAAAATATTTTATATGTTTACAGAAACACTATGAAAGTTATTTATATTTACATGCTTGCAGAAACACAGTATCAAAGTTATTTATATTCACGTTTACATAGTGGCATACAAGAAAAGGTTTATAAAATCTTTTATGTTTACAGAAACACTATGAAAGTTATTTATATTTACATGCTTGCAGAAACACAGTATCAAAGTTATTTATATTCACGTTTACATAGTGGCATACAAGAAAAGGTTTATAAAATCTTTTATGTTTACAGAAACACTATGAAAGTTATTTATATTTACATGCTTGCAGAAACAGTATCAAAGTTATTTATATTTGCATGTTTATTTGTATCTATACATTTACATTAAAGTCCTTTGATATCTATCCTCCAACAGCAAGTGTTTTGTCTGGTCTTTAATCATTTGCCCATGCTTTTAACAAGGGGCCATTCTGATAGTTTATAAGGAGGCAAGCAACAGTGTATAGCTGGTTGATGGTCCTGGTGTCGCAGAGAGGAATGACCGTATCCAACAGCTTGTGTTGCTTCACCCTGCCGACAAGACGCTCCATGTGGACCCTGAGCCGAGCAATGGACTGAGTTTCCCTCACTTCCTCAGCCGGCATCTGTTCCTTCTTTAGCAGACAGGAAGGTCGGTACACTTTGCACGGTACACAGTTGTCTATAAAAAACCCTTTGTTGACCATAATGGCCATTTCAGGTTTCAGGAGTGACACAATCCCAGACTGCTTCAGAAGCTCCTTGTCACTGACTGCATACACGGATGACACAAAAGTGACTGCACCATGCGGTGCCATGCCAATTAAACCCTTGTAGGTGCAATGGGACCCTTCACCTTGAAGCAGAAGAGAGGTTGGTGTTTTGCAACGCAGCTCTATGCAGTCTATCACAACATGTGTGTCTGGATAGTCCTGAAACTCCTTTGGCATGTGAGCCTTGACCGCCTCTTCAGACATCCAGATGCGCACAGATCCAAGAATGGCATAGAGAAAATTGGCCCAGCTTGTAATTATTGGACTCACGGCGGACTGATGGATATTGAATCTGTGAGCTAGATCTCTCTCTGTTAGACCAACTGAGAGATGGACCATGAAGAGGAAAAACTCATCTATGGGCTGCATGGACTGACACTGTTAACAAAATTGTGAAAGTTTTTTTTTAATACATATAATGCGTTTAAGTAGAGAAAGTAATATTGGTAGAATAAACATTTCTGTCTCTCTTCCCCCCACAAAAAAATTTGTATGTAACAACATCATAAATTAATTTTAGATGACCTATAAATGAATTATTTACAGATGTACTGCCTGATGCTCCAGCTTCGCTCATTGTAGCTGTCCTGACTCTGATCAAACGAAACATGTTGTGGGACGCGGGCTCAATGAGTCTCCAGAACGCCATCAAGTGGTTGTAAGTTGCAAACCTATAAGAAATGTGGGACGTTTGAGATAATATACACAACAACAAATGTGATGATCAACTACCAAGTTGTAGCTTATTTTTTATTTACAGTGTACTAAAATATAAGTCTTGTAAACCCTTGTTTAAAAAAGTACAATTTATCATACTTCAACTTAAATAATATGCTTAGTAAGTACTTGTTAAAGAAATAATCAACTTTAAAAGAATATACTTACGTGCAAACTGAATGTAATGATTTCCGGACACTTAATTGCATGTTATTTATGATTAAATGAAAAGTAGTTTAATTTATATTAAATGCAATAAGATGAACTTAAGAGTGCTTTTCTGATCCACTAAAGTAGGACTTTGTATTTGTATGTAATTTCATAAATTATGAAAACAAATTATTGTTAAAATATGGTTAAAATGTACTGACAAGCATTTATGGTAAACTAAATACTAATTTCTATTTAAACTTGAATGTCATGTATTTGATTCATTGATTATTATTATATATATTTTATAATATAATTTAGCACCATGCCAGTTACCACAGCTATATTCAGGTTACGACTGGAGAGAAAAATAGAAAACGTAAATAAACAAACCATATTTTAAAATAATAATAACAACAAAATTAAAAAAATTTTTATAAAAGGTTTTTAAAATTTATCTATAAAAAAAGATTTAAAACGAAATCTGGTCTTCATAAAAAAAAAAAACTTTTCATAAGAATCAAAGTTAGTCAACAAATCAAAATAAGCGTAGACCTACTTCCTTAAACCATAGCAAAAAAGATTAATATAACAATTATTTAAAGCGTAAAAAGGCGACATGAAGTGAACGTCCTAACTGTGTTAAGAAACAGTAATGAAAATGTGCTCTTAGTACACTTGTGGCATTTTATTTTCTTAATATTATCTGCAAGTACAGTTTTTTTTTTTCATAGCAACCCATTTAGGATTTGAAGTACACTACTAGTGAACATTCAATACAATCACTTGAGTGCTACTTAAATTAACATGTTTTATGAAAAGTATGAAAAAGTTATGGAAACATGTATGAAAACGTTGTTTAGGTTTTAAATCTTACCTAGTGTAAAACCGTATGTCATCGTCAGATGCAGCAAATCGCCCCAAATAAAACCTCTGAAGGACAGACAACTCTGCAACCTGCCTCTTCAGGCGCTCGACCTCCTTTCGGAGAACTTCGGCCTCATCCACTTCCAGATGATCCTGGATGAGAGATGAACAATAATCATGCTCCTGATGCTGGAAGCCCGTGGGCACAGGATCTTGTTTTAAAGGAGACGGGACGCGTCTCCTCCTCCATAACCCGGTGCGCTTTGGTGCTGAAGTGTTCGAGTTGTTGTTCCTCGTGAACAGCGTGGGCACGGCGCCCTTCTTCAGCAGTCGGCGCGACGTGGGAGTCGATTGCTCAATAAAATCATCAGTCCTGAAGTGTCGACTGCAGACTCTTGTATTAGGACTGACCTTACAATCCTCACGCCGGATATTCTGAAGCCACGTTTTGCGTGTTTCTTTGTTCAAAGGGAAACTGTGGAAACTAATCACAGAATTAAATCTTGAGGACATTTTACAGGACGGGACACAGCAATATCGAGACGATGCACCTTCACGACGAAGATATTTAAAGGTTTTTGAACTCATTACTAAAACGTTATATTTTAATATAATGCAGCTACTAAATGGTGTATCACTGTAGTTAGGTATAATGTAATAATATATCAATTTGATTGTGATCAATAGTTAATCGAAATATGTCAGAAAGAGTTAACTACTAACACAGTTTCCTATCGGTGAATACTGAACCGGAAGCTCGTGTAGACACCGAGAATTTAGCGGAAATACGTAGGCAGTAGGCATATGGCAAGCCGTGTTAGCATTTAATGCCTCTGGCTTTAATAGCCTTGATTTAGTTTTGACTAGTCAAAATTCCAAATGTCTGTTCTGCAATTTTGACTCCTTGACTAGTCATAATATATTTAAGCTATAAATAATATTTTCGGATATAGTTTTGACAACTAGAAATTGTAACTAAAGTCAACTATAATTTGTACTTTGTGTCTCTAATTGAGTGAAACATATAATTTGAGATATTTCTAATATTTGACTAGTAGACAAGAATTTGAATTCTTCATAATCAAATCTCATTTAAAGTCATCATGAAATGGAAATTGTGATGTTCTTTTTCCCCCTGTTGTGAAATATCTGAGTGAAACAACTTCTCAAAAGAAAAAAAAAATGTATTTGACGGGACTTTGTTTTGTCCATTAGGAATTGATTGGATTGTTTGATTAAATTAGAATTGCATATGTATTACATTATCGTTCTGACTAGTCAAATTATGTTTGCGACACACTGAAATACAATTGTAATTATCTAAAATATTATTTAAACCAATTTTGTTTTTACACTGATACGCTTGCCATAGTAGGTCGTGCACTGACGATTAGATGACACCATGTGGCAGCTGTTGGACATTACACATAAAACATCCTGATGGTAAAACACAACATGCATGTGTTTTTCGAAATATTCTGTTATGTTGTTCTGATCTGTTGCTGTCTGGATCTGTGGAAGATATTTATAAAAACTGATGAATCCTCAAAAAAAAAAAAACGAAATCTCTACTCTGAACCAAACTGAAGAAAAGCTTTAAAAAGTGAAATGCAGAACCCTTTGCACATGCAGCTACAAAAACTAGCCCACTTGAGAATAGAATGATTGAACAAATAACCAGTCTTTTTTTAAAGGAGGTTTATTGAGAATAACACATACAAGGAAGACATATTTACTGTAACAATAGAAAACCATATGCAATGCTGCTCTCCAACATAAAAAACATTTTACATGACAGACACTTCATGTGTCAGTCCTAAAATGCTAATAGTATTTCATAGTAAGACCCAAACTATTTTCACAATACTTATCTTACCAAACTATGTGTCCTGCAAGAAAGCTGGACAGACTTTTGTAGCATACTTATTTTAGTTATCCAATTCTTTGACATTATATCATATATTGCACTTATTGCAATCACATTTTATTTGATACATTAGTGGAAATCAGACATTAGATATGATGTTATGTGATTATATCTGAGAGAAATGTACAGAGCCCTTACAGGGACATTAGTCATGGGAGAGAAAAAAATCTCCATGCTTTTACATTACCCTGAGAAACTGTGCTTTTTGCTTGCAAAATCTTTGCGTTCTTTTGCTAAAGTTCCTGATTCAGTTGCAAAAGTTTTCTATTCGCTTGCAAAATTTTTGTGCGCAAATGCAAAACTAGTTATGGAAATAACATAAGGTGGGAGAAAAAAAGTTTTGCAAGCAAATGCAAAAGCTTTGAAATTTTGTGTGAGCATCCAATATTTTTGTGAGAGTACGGAAAGGTCTTGTGAGCAAATGCAAAGTTTCTTGGGTAATGCGAAACGTTGTCGAGAAAATGCAAACGTTTTGTGCGCAAACACAGAGTTTCTCTGGGAATGCGGTACTTTTGCGAGAGAACAGAAAGATTTTGTGAGCAAATGCAAAGTTTATCAGGGAATGCAATGTTTTTGGGAGAGAATGCAGAAGTTTTGTGAACAAAGACAAATTTTCTCAGGAATTGCAATACTTTTGTGAGAGAACACAAAGAGAGAGAGTGAATGCAAATATTCTCAGGCAATGCAAAAGTTTTGCGAGCAAAGCAAACACAAAAGCGTTGAAATATAATTTTTTATCCTATTTTGTCATCACATTAGGGGCTTCGTAGTACTGAATCAAAATAAGATCAGACACATTTTCATGTAAGTGTTCAACATCTCAAATGGATCCAAGTCTCAAGTCTCTGCCACTTCGATAGCTGGAAAACAAAATGAACAACTGTTACTCTGCATGATCTGAGAAGAAACCACCAAAAGAACTTTTGCTGTTGTCTTTTAACGACAGATTTACATACATGATCGGGACAGCACTGATGTAACTAATAGCACAGGAGAGGAGGAAGCAGAAGCCACTGAACCAGCCGAGAGTTAGTGGGTAAATGGAGGTGAAAAAGACATTGGATAAGACATCAGTCACAGCTAGAACCAGCTGGAGCAGCCCAGAGACTCGCCCTGCCAAGAAACACAGCAGAGGACTTTCATGTGCAGTATGACCTCAACTAAAGCTTATACTTAGATGAAGCACATTTGAAGTTTTTGTTTCTATGGAGTTGTAACTTTACCATATTGCTGAGGATGCAGATTCTTGGACAGCATGGCTCGCAGTGTTGGCATGGGAACGCAGGCAAACATCATGATCCCTCTTGCTGTTTAAAACAACACATCTCAACCTTTCACTGGAGAAAGCAATATTACGGATAGAGAACTCTATTTTACCCAGAAGTAACTGTTTAAAGTTGCCTTAATTATGAATTTGTTTGATTGCAAACTTCTAGCTTCACAAGATGTTAATTGATGGACCGGAGTCGTGGATACTTGTGGATTATTGTGATGTTTTTATCAACTGTTTGGACTCTAATTCTGATGGCACCCATTCACTGCAGAGGAAGTGATATAATGCAGAATTTCTCCAAATCTGTTCCCATGAAGGAATAAACTACTCATCTACACATTGTATGGCCTGAGGGCATGTCATAACTAAAATGTTCAGTATAAAAATGCACATGGAGATTTTATTAATTTACACGACATTTCCAGGTCTAGAAATCACATTTTTAATTTGGTTACCTCACATCCAGAATTTTTTTAAATAGAGGGAACACAGTTTCTTTTCTTTTTTTTTCAAAGCAAAAAAAAACATTTGTTGAGGGGGTGAAATAAAATAAGAAATATCATTATTTTTTAGCAGTTCAGCTTATTTTAATGCTTGTTTTTTCTTGTTTTAAATCATTTTTATGTCATCTTGAGGCCCCCTAATGAGCCCTGGCTCCCTTTCAAGTCAAGTCATCTTTACTTCTATTAGTGCTTTATACAATACAGATTGTGTCAAAGCAGCTTCACAGTAAAAAAAAACAGGGAAAAAAGCAAAATCAATTATGGAAACTCAACTATGGAATCAATTTAATAGTGAAAACGTTTTTTAAAACCTGGCAACCCTGCGCACAGACTGTTTTTACATTGATGAGGTGAAAACACCCGGCAAACATTCAAGTTGGAGTTCAGCGATCTCTGAGATATTTTGCTCAAATAAAAGTGTAATGCAGCTAGTCTATTTTCTTTCACACGGTTGTTTACGCTGTTTGCAGCAACTAAATCTGTGAACAAATCATGCGAGTTGATTTGTGCTCTTGTGAAAGTGCAATAATAATCAGTGTTGCCAAGTCCGCGGTTTTCCCACTGAATTGGGCTACTTTAATACTGTTGCAGCAGGTTCTTTTTTTTTAGTCCGTGGCTTGAAACAAAATCCGTGCAAGGAGGTTTTGAGCCTCTGGAATGCGATTTTGGAGCTATTTTGATAGAATGTGATTGGGCTATTTTTGAGTACCAATTTGGCTGGTTTTGTTATGCAGACCTGGCAACCCTGAGAATAATAGTCACTGGTTGAGAACCACTGCTCTATGGCTATTACTGGAGACCTATTTCGGTGATATCTGTCAGGTGGGGACTTTATGTGCATCATTCCACGATAAATCACTTAATTACCTTAAAACAAACTCACCCAGGAAGTAGACCCAGCTTTCTACAGTGAATGCCATGATTGCCATCTCAGTACAGTTGGACACAATACCCAGTAGAGTGAGGGCTGTGTCTCCCAACACTTTGAACAGACCCAGGACCCCTATGAAACTACTCAGGTACATGGCGCTGGTGGCGGCTCTGCCATATCCGGCCCAAATTGAGTCCCAGCTCAGGGGGGGCTTCAGCAAATACAGCTGGAGCACATTTTCTGCCCCAACCATGCCTAGTATGAACAACATCATGGCTGACATCAGCATGCCTATAGAGACTCAATCCATCGTTTTCCCATTTTCGTATTCAGCCAGCAATGGCTCACTCTCGGATAGGGAACGTCTCGAGTCAGTGAGGGCAAACACAGAGTACAGTAATGCCACAACGCTGACTAGAATTGCTGTCAGGAGGAGAACTGATGGTCCCATCTGGTACAGATATCCAGACAGGAGACCTCCCACGACCCCTGCGACCCCAAAACAGAAGTCCACAATGTTGAGTTTAAGAGTGCGTTTGCCCTGCTCCGAGCTCAGAGACGCCAAAGCCGCCACCCCAGCCCAGAACATCGGCCCGCCTCCGCTCAAACCATGCAGCAAAGAACCCAAGTACAGAAACTCCAGAGGAACTTCACAGTACATAAATATGACAAGCGTAAACATGCCCAAAACCGAACCCATTTGAGAGGCCACCAGGAAGACTTTAGGTCCATGACGGTCTGCCATGCGGCTCAGTGGTATAATGGACAACATGGCCGCCACAGAGGACAACACACTCTGAATAAGAATAAAGCGTGAGGATAACGCCTGTGCCCGATCGCTGTTTCCTGCTGTTGCCTTCAGTGACTGGTTGTACACGGTCTGTGTGAGGGCCATGTCAAAGAAGGATGTCCCCAGTTTATTGATGACAACCACTGGCTCCACTAAAGTCAGAATGGCCCCCATTTGATTGGCAGACTGGGAGCTTGAAGCTGTAATTTTTAACCTTTAATACAAAAAAAAGCAGTATTGATACTGAATGTGTGTGTATTTGGAATAATTAAGATTTTTTTAATGTTTTGAAAGAAGTCTCTTATGCTCACCAAGGCTGCATTTCTTTGATCAAAAATACTGTAAAAACTACAATATTGTAAAATATTATTTCAATTCAAAAGAACTGTTTTCTAGTTGAATAGATTTTCAAATAAAGTTTATTCCTGTGTCGCAAAGCTCAATTTTCATCAGCCATTACTCCAGGTTTATTTCCAATTATTTATAATGGAAAACAGTTTTTGCTGCTTAATATTTTTATGAAATCCATGATACATTTTTTTTTCAGGATTCTTTGATGAATAAAAATCTCAAAATAACAGCCTTTATTTGAAATAGAAATCTTTTCCATCACTTTTTATCACTTGAATGTGTCCTTGATTTTTTTTAAAACCATACCTACTCTGAAACGTTTTAATAACAGATAAAAATAAGAAATGTTTCTTGAGCAGCAAATCAGCATATTATCTCTCATACCATAAGATTCCCTTAATTTCACCTCTGAGAGCATAAAACAAAGTGTGGTACTAATAGAAATGGGTTCAGAGGAGGATTTTGAGTCTTGTCAAGCATCCGTGGCTTTATTTAATCTGCACTGTTGTTATGTAGACATTTTTAATGACACTGGCATGAAATGAACAAACAATTAAGCAAACGGCATTGCATGCATTTAGAAAATCATGTATTAATGGAGTTTATCCTCTAGAGGGCCATACATTCAAAAAAACAAACAAAAAAAAGAACACTTTAGCTTAATAAATTAATTTTTCTGAAATATTGCACATGGGTTTTCATTAAAGGGAAACCACGCGAAGGAAGATTGTTCAGCAAGTTTTCTTAATTAGTGAGATTAGAATATTGCTGGAACTTTAACATGCAAGAAGTTAGAAAACACGACAAGACTGATATTGCATGTTGTTTTTGCTGCTTATGAAGGTTTACGTTAAAGGTATTTGACTAGTACTCTTTTTTACCCTTTTACATTATGTTTGAATTTCTTTCTGCAGTACCAGTGGCAAGGAATCACTGTTCAGGGCTAAACCTTAAAATCTTCTATTGAAAAATTGTAATATATACTTACATTAAACATGTCTACTAAAAATCAAGCCTTTATTATATATATATATATATATATATATATATATATTGCATATATTATTATTATTATTATGTGTTAACAACACAGAATACATCAATGTTATCTTTTGATATTAAGTTAATTTTGACATACCAGACTATTATTGAAACTAAATTAATTACAACGTCTAATCTGTAATAAAAAACAATTATCATATTGCATTTACAATACAGCAAAAATCTCCAGTGCAACTTTATGAATCTTCAATATTCAATACAAAAAGAATCTTCTATTGATATTTTATATTTTTTCAGTGGAAAGCAAGATTCAACATTATTTCAAAATAAAGACCACTTTGTTAGATCAACAGGCTTGTGTATTAATGAGTTCATGTCCAGGTCCAGATCTCACGGTCCCTCCTCTCTATGTAGGAACCCAGCTCTGTGATTCTACTTTGCTTTTTTGGTTTTATTCCTTGTATAAAAAGCAAGCTGGTCTATCCATTTAAGTGCTGAGGATTTGAAGGTTAGTGACATTAATAATCTGGAACACAGTCTGATGTTGTATTTTCAGATGACAGATTTGTATAAATGTGTATATTTTATAAGTATTAAGGATGGTAGTTAAATGTTAGTGCTGGGCGGAGAAATAGATTAAGAAAGTTTTCATGATCCAGTTTGCTAGAGCTTACAAATCACCCCATGCAAGCAGGTAAGATGTTCTCCACACCTACACCTATTTCCACCACGCCAGTCGATTCAGAACAGCCAGCTAAACTGAGTGAGATGGAAGCAATGTCCATGTTTCATGTTCATTGATTTTATATGGTGAGGTAACACGAGAAGTGTGCTTGGTAAGTGTAATGTGGAATTAAAACTAGTCATTCTCATCTGAAGATGATTTCTGGTGTATCCTGTTATGTCGGTGCTGATTCATTAGCTCTCCTGGTTGGTGTACATGCCTGCCTCCCACTGCAGGGCTCGTTGGTTTTTATGCCTTATTACACGGGTGGCCACTACAACCTACCGAGAAACCAGAGTTACACAACATGATCAAACTGGATCTGTTCCAAAATCCAGCAGAGGGCACTAAACATCGAAAACCTCAGCTCACCTCATTGTTTATGGCATCAATAGGTTGGATCCCAGCATACTGAGGAAAGAAAAAGTTATAAAGTGAAAAAAATCTGTCTATACAGCTCTTGCTTTGCATTGTGACATTAGTCAACCTAAAAATTCTATTCTTTACTTAACACCTTAACAACCATCCCGGGTACCCTAGCAACCGCATAGCAACACCTTAGCAACCACCCCGGGTACCCTAGCAACCGCCCTGGGTACCCTAGCAACCGCATAGCAGCACCCTAGCAACCACCCCGGGTACCCTAGCAACCGCTCTAGCAACCAGCCCAAGTACCCTAGCAACCGGATAGCAACACCTTAGCAACCACATGGGTATTCTAGCAGCTGCATCTATCTATCTATCTATCTATCTATCTCTGAGAGACTGTATTGCCTTCAAAACATTCAAACTTTAAGCTTTTAAAAGTACTTTAAACTTCAAACTATTTCAGACTGAAAACCATCAAACTTAAAACTTTTTAAACTTCTTAAACTTTTCAATCTTTTCAATCTTTTTCAAACTTTCTAAACGTGTATGACTTTCTATCTTCCATGGATTTGCGATTTGAAATGACATGTAGATGAAGGCGATTACACAGCTTTAATTTTTTGGGTGAACTATCTTTTTTAAGGGCTGTTTACTTGAGAGGTTTGCGATTTCCTGAAAGAAACTTCACTCACTGCACTTTCTTCCAGCTTCAGTTTGACCCGTCTGTCCTCAAAGTCCTTTAGCAGTGTCTCAGTCAGACCTTTCTGGGAAGAAGGCGATGACAGGTCAGCAAGCGCGCTCAAGGGCTTGATGGGGGTTGTCCTGGAAACAGTTGGGGACATGGGTTTCGGGCTGCCCCATGGCTGGGGTGTCATAATTGACACAGAGGGAAGTCTGAAAGTGGGTCGTGGTGAGGACAACTGTGAACTTTTATCTGGAGAGATAAACAAAGAAAAACAAGAGATTACGTTTACTATTCATTCACCTACTTACACGAGTCATTCGTTTCCCCATACGTTTTCAATGAATTACCGTGTTTAAAAATCATCATGATTTTCTAAGCGCATTTCTGAAACAAATACATCTTAACATACTATGTCTGTTGAAATGTAGTCTTAATTCCATTATGGATACAGATTCTGAACTGATAAGTGATCTGTGATCTTGGCCTGTCGTGAATCCACCAGCACAAATTATATTGGAAAACAAGACATAGCATGTAGGCATTTGATTGTGTGAAAAGCAATCTTTAACTTCAAATGCACATTTACATCCATAAAGTAAATGATTAATCATTCTTCAGTGGAGCAGAATGTCATGCTATGTCCAAAGTTCAGAAACTACGTTGGCAATTCCTTCTCATTCCTTGGTGCTGCTGACATCCATAAACATTAAACACTTTAATCAGTAAGCTACTGTATAAAGCAGAAAGTTATGAAATGCAGAATGCCCCAAACATTGTACAGAATAAGACAGTTTCCCAGCAACAGGCAGTATCCCTCCTTACCCATTTGTTATGTTAAGCATGTTTGAGTGCAGTGAGACTGAAGAGTTATACCTGTCATGGATGATCGAGAGGTGTCCAGACTCCCAGAATAAGGATTACTGTAATTAGTTTTCTTTTCTGAAAATACCGAATCCACTTCTGCCATGTTCCCATGTGGAGTTTGTGGTGAAAATACAGTTTCCTCGCTGGTTAGAGGAGACCTGGGTTCAGAGGAACTTGGCACTGGATTCACGGATGCTGGGTTGGGTACTGAGAAAGACTGACTACTGGACTCTCTCAGCTCTTGGAGCTCTTGTTCTCGTCTGAGGTCTTCTTCGATTTCCTGACGGATGCTGTTTGGGGCATTCTGCATTTTGGGGCTCCAGTCGGTGTACTCGAGGTGAGATTTCCAGGTAGGCATGTACCGACTAGTTTTTGCAGGTTCCAGTGGGGACAGATAATTTTGAGAGTAAAATCTGTTCCTTCCTGACATGCTGTTGTCATTTTCCACAATCCAGGATGACTCTTTCTTTGTTCTGAGGGTATTGGTTTGGCACTCTACGCCATTTTCTTTATGAATGCTTACTTTAAAATGGTCCTCAAGACATGCACTTACTTGGACTTGTTTTCCAAAAGTGCTGCTGTCAGAGT